GTTTGTTGTGGGGAGGGGAAGGGAAAGGAGTTTGTAAGCCGCTCTGAGACACCTTTGGGTAGTGAAGGGCGGGGTATAAATCCAATCTCTTCTCTTCTTCTATGTTTGTGGCCATCACTACATCCTCTGGCAGCCAATTCCACATTTCTGTGTAGTCTTTCCTTTTGTCCATCCTGACCATACTACCCATCAGCTTCATTGGATGCCCTCAAGTTCTAGTATTTGGGGAGAGGGGGAGGAAAATGTCTCTTTTGTCAACTCCCTCCACCTCGTGCATAATTTTTAAAATCTCGATCTTGTCCCCTCATTGGCCATCTCTTTTAGAAGAAGAAGAGAAGAGATTGGATTTATATCCCGCCCTTCACTTGGAGTCTCAGAGCGGCTTACAAACTCCTTTCCCTTCCCTTCCCCACAACAGACCCCCTGGGAGGGAGGTGGGGCTGTGAGAGCTCTGAGAGAAACTGCTCTTTTTCAAGAACAGCTCTGACAGAACTATGGCTTGGAAAAGTCCCAGACTTGTCAGCCTTTCCTCATTGGGAAGGGGCTCCAACCCCTTAATCATCTTGGTTGCTCTCCTCTGTCCTTTTTCCAGCTCTGCAATTGTTCTTTTTGAGACACGGTGACCAGAACTGTATATTAGCATGTTAGACAAAGAGTATCCCGCAAAGTACAGCCATATAAGTTTTCTTTCTAGAAACCACCAAAAAGCATCAGGGATACAAAGCAACCCTAGAAATACACTGATTTTGACCCAATTTACAATGTATCAGGGTACAAAAATACCTCATGATTTTGGGAAAAAACCAGAAAATTCTGAGCCAGGGAAGCATTTTGAAGTACTCTGGAGAGAGACGGCCCCTCCTGAAAACTGACCCTAATAACTTGCAGAACATTTTCCTCACCACAGATAGAGATATCCTTGGGGTAGAAAAATACTCCGAACAGACAACAAAAGTTAGGGTTTTTAAAGTTATGATTAAAACAGTTATTTTCTGCCTCATATGAAAGTGTGTTTTTCCCCTCAGGCTCTGGGTGTTTGGCTATTGGAAAACACATTGAGGAATTTCACATTACCCTTTTTAACCCGTTTTGAAGCTGTTTTTGATCCGTCATGGAGTAAACCAGTATAGGGCTGCCATTTCACACATGGCTTTCCCCTTCCGGTAAAGAGCTGGATCTGAAGCGGTTTGCCATTTCAGACTGCACCGCTTTTTCCCTGCCGTTTTTCTTTTTTGCAGGCGATCTCCAGCTTTTTGTTTTTTGAACATTCACTTTAGAGCACTATAGCGCTATAGCACTATAACAAAACACTCCAGGCATTTCAATGGGGTTGATATAATGCTGTTGCGTTATAGCGCTATAAAGCGAACGTTCCAAAAAAAACAAAAAAAGCAAATCGAAACCAGGAGAGGAAACTGAAGACTACTTGGAAGCGGTTGACTGGTAAAACGCTTCAGCCCCGTTTCCTAAGCGGGACAGAAGCATTTGTGTCTGAAATTACAAATATATTCCTGTAGGGAACTGGTTCTAAAACGGTTCTGTCTGAATGACAGACCAGAAACCGTTTGGGAACCGTTCCTCTTCCGGATTATATCGTCTGTCTGAAATTCCTCCCCGTGTTCCACCATGACAAAACGTTTCTTTTTCTTACGGGACATTTTTCTAACCCATGATATGTTGGGATTTGAGTTGGGCCATAAACATATCCTAGAGAAGGATTTGGTTTCCCCCCTCAGAATATGGATTCAGGGTTCAGTGACTAAATCAGTGACATTATTCTATGCTCTTCCCCCCCCCCGCCCCCCTTCTCGGCCTTTAGTCCAGCAGGTGATTGAAAACCATATTCTGAAGTTATTCCGGAACAGAGAGACTGACTGAAAGATCCCCTCTCTCGGTCCAGGCTTGGCACAGAGGGGAATAACCTGCCATGAAGAAGAAAACAAGAATTGAATCACACAATTGCTGTGGCGCCTGGACATGGGAAAGGGAGGTGGTTGGAAATTCCAGGAACTGGAACTCTCCACTGCACTTCTTGCCAAGACGACGGGGGGCTTTGGAAATTAGCCTCATCTCTCTGGCCAGAAAACAATGAGTGGGATGTATGGCGGTACTCCTCCTGAGTAAGACGATTCCTCTCCCCCGGTGCTTACAGCCATGCCATGCAGATGGCAGACGGGGAACACAGACCTCCGGATTGCTCATGTAAGCAAGTCAAGCCACAAACTGCTAGAAAAAAAGAGCTTGTTTGTTCCCTGTGACTACAAGTCTGTATGTGTGTGTGTGTGTGTGGACTATTTCCTACTCACGTTTAAAAAAAGAAAAACTTTATGTATGCATTTTTAAAAAAAATATCAGATGACTTCCTAAGATCAAAAGGAATTTTGGGGGTTTCCAGAAAAATAGCTGCAAAGAGAACGAAATGTGCCTTTTCATTCTGGCTTGCAAACTGTCGCCTGGCTCGGTCACCTAGGGCGACGCGGGATGGCTTCCCCAGCCAAGTAAGAATGAGAACATTTGTAAAATGTGAAAACAGTGGGCGGAAGGTTTCATTGTATGTTTTGTTTGGATACCATGGCCCCAAAGGACAAGCCAACACTGTGGCCAGAGGGCTAATAAAACCACTTGTGGACTTTCTTTGAGGGGCCGACTGACCAAAATGTCACATCCATTTTGTTAGTTATTTGACACGTGTTTTCTCCTGTGTCCAACCAAACTTGAAAACGTACCGTACACACATACCCTCATTTTCCCCCCATAACAAAAAGTAATATGAAGAAGAGATTGGATTTATACCCCGCCCTTCACTACACAAAGGAGTCCAAACTCCTTTCCCTTCCCCTCCCCACAACAGACATCCTGTGAGGGAGGTGGGGCTGAGGGAGCTCTGACAGAAACCACTCTTTTTCAAGAACAGCTGTGTCAGAACTACGGCTTGCCCAAGGATATCCAGCAGGTGCAGGTGGAGGCGTGGGGAAATCAAACCCAGTTCTCCCAGATTAGATCCTGCGCACTTAACCACTACACCAAACTGGCTCTCAATATGCAATCTGAGACTTCTCTATTTCTTCTTGCATTCTGGAGTGTCCAGAAAAAAGAACCCTGATGAACCTTGCATTTGTTTATTTAGTCGTTCAAAGCCCTTCTGCTGTGCTGCTATATTAGAAAGCAGTCCATTGACCAAACTTGACCCAGTAAAGATGATCTTTCTTCCTATCAAGAAACAGTACCAGTTTTATTTAACTGTAAGCAGGGGTCATCTGGGGCCGGAACGAGCTGGAGAAGTGCTCCGGCAGCCCAGGAGCAGGCACAGATGGTGGTGGTGGTGGTGGCAGCCAGCCCCGCCCCCAGTGCGCTTGCGGAGGAAGTGAGAAGGGGTTTAAAGTTTAAACCCCTTCTCTCTAGAGTTGTACCGCAGCAGTGGCACGATCTCTTATTGTATCCTGGGGCCCCATAAAATACAATGGAAAGATCATGCCACCACTGCGGCGTGACGCCAGAGAGAAGGGATTTAAACTTTAAACCCCTTCTCTTTTCGCTCCCCCCCCAAACTCGCTTTTGCAGGCTGGCTGGGGAAGGGGAGGCATTTGAAGATGCCCCCCCCCTTTTGCTTCCCCTTCTGACACGGGGCGTGGCAATATGTCAATGAGTTATGCTAATAGGCAGGGCTATTTTGGGGCAGGGACGCATAGGAATGGAGTTCCGGCTGGCTCCTGAGTTGGCCACGCCCAGCAAGAACTCATTAGCATAATAGGCCACACCCAACAGCAAAAACTCATTAGGATTGGCTACATTAGGGGTGTGTGGCCTAACATGCAAAGGAGTTCCTGCTACAAAAAAGCCCTGGGTTTTGACCACAAACAAAGTAAACAGAATAAGAAGCAAAAGGTGGGCGTGGCTGGATGACCACACTTCTGGTAACACGGGGGTGTGGCCTAATATGCTAATGAGCAGTGCAGTCAGGGCTGTGGCCTAATATGCTAATGAGCTGCTGTTGGGTGTGGCCTATTATGCTAATGAGTTCCTGCTGGGCTTTTTCTACAAAAAAAAGCCCTGCTGATAGGTATGCTAATGAGCCCCTGCACCTCTTTTTCTATGAAATGACCCCTGGTTGCAAGATGTCTTACTCTTATAAAGAGTAGTCGTCTGGTAGTGGAAAGTCCTGTCCAAGTCACAGCTGAGCTGACTGACAGAAGACTCCTGTTGGTTTTCAAGGCAACAGACATTCCGAGGTGGTTTTGCCATTTCTGGCCTCAGTGTCACGACCCTGGTATTCCTTGGAGGTCTCCCATCCAAATACTAGCCAGGGCCGGCCCTTCTTGGCTTCTGAGGTCTGGCTAGCCTGGGCTATCCAGGTCAGGGCGAGAGGTAGGCTACTTTCCTTCAAAATCTTCAAATAAAAGGATGAAGGGGAGGGGAAAAGGCGTTTCCAGAAAGCTTAGCAACCCCATGGCCAAGGAGATGTTTTCCTGGAGAATCCTGGTAGGAGCGTGGAACCTCTCAAGGAAGGGGAACGAAGGAACAACGCTTCCTTTTGCATTAAAGCTTTCCCCCGAGAACATCCAGGTGGTAGACGACGATTCGCCCAAAGAAATCCGTGCTGTCTTCAAAGGTGATTTTCAATTTATCCAAAAGCGCCTCTGGGAGAGAAAAGCTGTACAGAAAGTAATTAAGGAGAAAAAGAACTTGACAGAGAAAAGAGAAGAGATTGGATTTACACCCTGCCCTTCCCTACCCAAAGGAGTCTCAGAGCGGCTGACAAACTCCTTTCCCTCCCCCTCCCCACAACAGACACCCTGTGAGGGAGGTGGGACCGAGAGAGCTCTTTCGAGGACTGCCCTTGAGAGAACAGCTCTGACAGAACTGTGGCTTGCCCAAGGCCATCTGGCAGCTGCAAGTGGAAGAGTGGGGAATCAATCCTGGCTCTCCCAGATTAGAGTCCGCGCACTTCACCACTACACCAAATTGATAGCTTGCACAGGGGAAACCCCCCCCCAAAGCAGACAGGCAAACAACAGCACGGGTGGCCAACTTTATTTCTACAAATGTGAAACCAGACAGTACCACTCCTCCACTTAAGAGTTGCTAATTCTGGGTTGGAAACTCCTGGAGAGGGGGGGGGCGGTTAGGGAGGGGGAGGCACCTCAGCAGGGCACGCTGCCAAAGTCTACCCTCAGAAGCTGCCCTTTTGTCCAGTGGAACTGATTGCCATAGCTGGGGTGAGCAGTGATTCCAGATCGCCAGACCCCACCTGGAGGTTGGCAACCCTGCCTCCAGTATGTCTACTGTGTATGGAGTTGGGACCATGAAGTCTCTGTTGCTGACTGGTTGGGATACTGTGACTTCCTGAAAGGTTTGCAAACTATTCCAAACACTTGGAATGTTTGCAGTTGGGGGGGGGGGGGCC